AAGTGATGAGCGGCGTTTTCAACTTCAAATGCGAGGCCAAAATACTTCTTCGCCACCTTGCGACTCATCTCCAATCTAAGTGATGGCCTCAATGAAGCCTCAAGTTGTACCCGTGCATGCAAACAAAAACATGACCTTTTTTGTAACTTGGTTGGAATTGTTTCACGAGGCAAGATGAATGCAACTTGACATATCACTCTGGCAGCGTTTCCACCAAAGTTAGATAAAGGTCATCATGAGAATCAACCATCTATCAACTTCATCAACCGAAGAGAGTCAAAAGCTGTTGCTGCCAAGGCGCATCCATTTAAGGCACGTGAGGCACGTCAAAAGCACATGCCGATCATCTTTACTACTTCATAGGGGGCAAAGAAGCTCGTCTCTCGAACCAGTGAAAGGTGCTTGCCAAAATCGAAGAATTCAGCTGAACGGTCACCATTACATATCTCCAGTGTCGACTTAAAAGCACATCCATGCCTAGGTTCTATGCAGGTGATGATGGTAGGAGTTACTTCTGTTGATGAACAACTAGCTTAAATGGCTCAAGCAATCGAGATGTTGACAAAAACCGTTGAGGAGAAAGACGTGCATGAAGAAACTTGATAATCTTCGAATGCCAACTGGGTACCAACCTCTCAAATTCTTGCAATTTGATGGAAATTGCATCCCTAAACAACACATCGCTCACTTCATTGAGACATGCAACAACGCTGGTACCGATGTCGATTACCACGTGAAGTAGTTTGCCCACTTACTTCGAGATACCACATTTGACTGGTACATAACCTAGAACCAGAGTCAATCGGCAGTTGGCAATAAATGGAGAAAGAATTTTTCAACCGCTTTTTCATCACACGTCGCACTATTAGCATGATGGAGCTCACCAACACAAAGCAATGAAGGGATGAACGAGCGGTCGACTACATCAGCCGTTGGCATGCATTAAGCCCTAATTGAAGGATCAACTCTCAGAGATGTCTTCCATAGAGATGTGCATACAAAGAATGCATTGGGGTTTGCAATACATCCTTCAAGGGATCAAACCTCATACCATTAAAGAACTAACCACTCGAGCTCATGACATGGAGCTAAGCATTGCAAGCCACGATGAAATGAATAATACAGTTGGTGACAAGATGTCTTCTTCAAAGAAACCCATCACGGAGTCTATGGCGATAAGCACTGGTCTATTCGAGTCCTTTGTACAAGACAAGAAGGGTGTGAAGAAGGCTGAGTCAAGTCAAGTCTAAGAAAGGCCACGACGCATACTGAAAGAAGTGGAAGAGAAAAAGTATCATTTTCCCAAGTTAGACGTCGCTCCTATGTTGGAATATTTGCTCCAAAAGAAGGTGATTTAGTTGCAAGAGTGCAAGCGGCCTAGAGAGATGAATCGCATGGACAACCCAAGATACTGCAAATACCACCATGTCATCAATCATCCAATGGAAAAGTGCTTCGTGCTGAATGATCTCATCATGAAGTTGGCCCAAGAATGAATCATCGAGCTAGATCTTGACGATGTGATGGAGAAAACCATATCACCATCACTTTTAGCTCTTTCGACTCAATATCTTTACCTCGATCGCTAGGGGCATGCTCTAAAACCATGCAAGTCAAGCCAAATGAAGTTGAATGATGAACCTAGGTCATTCCGAGGAAGTCGCACAAGAAGCATACGTTTCATCTGCAAGTTGACCAATCAAAAAGAAGGCAAATGAACTCTTGTCAACCCTTGGAGCCACATGAAAGTGTTGAAGATGATGAAATTTCACTCAAAAATCGTATGTCCCCTATCATGATGCTCACTTTCTTCCCTGAAGACTTCTTCAATGAATCGATCAAGACTCCTTGCTATAAAGTCTACGAGGAACACCTTTCCAACATAATTTGACAAATTCACACCAAAGCTCCTTGCCTGCATGAGCTAAAACTGCACTAGGCACAAATGCTCCTGGCCCGCAAGAGCCTAAATTGCGTACGACACAAAAAAATGAAAAAAATTGTTTGTTGAGTTGAAAAACCCGAAAGGGCGTCTCAAGCAAAAGTTAGGACACAAAAAAAAAATGAAGAAAAAAAGTCTGTAGAGTTGAAAACCTAGAAGGGTGACTCAAGCAAAAGTTAGAACACACAAAAAAAGTCTGTTGAGTTGAAAACCCGAAAGGTCGACTCAAGCAAAAGTTTGGACATAAAACAAGAAAAAAATAGAGAAAAATAGAAACAAACAAACATATCTAAACTACGTGATGACTTGATCCCTCCTTAAAATGAGGGTATGTAGGCAACTCAAACTCTTAACATCAAGTTCAGTCACATCAAAATAAAAATAGGGGTTCCAACCTTTAAGGTAAAGATGCAAGACCAAGCCATCACTCCGAGACTAAGTCTTTGAATATTGTACTGCTGAATCTTGAGCAAGCCTTTTAATGTCTTTAATGCATCAGCATCTTCCGTGGACAAGCAAGCGGCAAGAGCAATGTGGATAAAAGAGTCTCAGAGGTGATGCAGGTCATAGAGGTAGTGCAAGGCAATGTAGTCCCAGAGGCAGTGCAAGTGCAGAGACACTTGCAACAGTGACATCATAGTTTGTCATCATAGCGGTTCGTCCTCGCAGCAACGTGTCCTCGAAGGCAGCGACATGTCCTTATCCTCGCAGGTAATGGCGTGTCCTTGAAGGAAGTGGCATGTCCTTACTTCACAGTGGCATCAAAGCTTGTTGTCATAGTGGCATTGCAACAGCATCACAACTTGTATTCACAGCGTCATCACAAGCTTGTTGTCACAGTGGCTTGTCCTTGCAGGCATCGGTGAGTCCTTATCTTCGCAGGTAGCAGCGTGTCATCATCTTCCTAGGCAGCAGCGATGGCAAGACAATAGTGATCTCTGTCGCAGCAAAGAAAGATCAACAACACAAACTTGTAGCAAAAACAAACTCCATAAGCTATATAGTCCAAAATCAACACAAATGCAGAAATAGCAACTAAGAAAAAAAATTTAAAATATGAAAAAAAAAAGTCGAAAAAATAAATAAAGAAGAGGAAGAGAAAAGTCGAAAAAAAAAAGAGAGAAGAGAAAAATAAAATAAAATAAAAAAACTCACCTTCGAATCTCTCATAAAGCAAGAAGGAGAGCTGGAATTGTGTGGTTTTGGTTTATTCATGCTAATCAATTTATAGGCACACAACTACTTGGAGTACAAGCAATCATCAAAGCCTCCACTAAGAGGAAAGAAAATCCCACCTTAAATATATATATATATATATATATATATATATATATATATATATATCGGATGGCACAAAAGCAGTCAGACGAGCCTAATGCTCCAATTGGGTATTTCAAATCAAGCTCAGTTATTTGCCTATAGATACTAGGCACTCCATTCATAAGTAGGGGAGAGCAAAAGGAAACATGTCAAAGCTCTGGACATCAAAATCTAAATACCCAAACAATCGTGTTCTTCATCAAGCTCATGGAGATTCAACAAGCACAACAAATGTGTGTCAATTCATCCACACCAAAGTCGAAGACCGCCTACCACGTGAAGCTCCTCATGGAACCATTTCCTTCAAGAACAAGCCTTAATGGCCCTTGAAGAAATGACAAGTCTGATTCAAGATCAAGTGTCCACCACCCTTGGATCAAATTCGACTCCAAAGAAATGAAGCAAAGCCAAATCTTTGGGGGAAACCAGAAAGCTCTTTGGTCAAAGAAAACACTCGTGTTCTTCATCAAGCTCATGGAGAATCATCAAGCACAACAAACACGTGTCGATTCATCCACTATCAAAGCTGAAGATCACCAGCCACGTGAAGCTCCTCGTGTTTTTTTTTTTTCATTCAAGACCAAGCCTCTATGGCCCTTGAAGAAACTTCCAGCCCAATCTAAGATCAAGTCTCGATGGCCCTTGAATTGACATCTACATTGAGAGACTTCAAAGCATGGTGGTCAAATACATTCACTATGCAAGTGACTTCAAAACGCACCTTCTACACGTGAAATAAATGTAAGTGGGGGCATTTGTAGACCTCGAACTTTCGGTGAAATAAATATGTCCCAAACACATTAATTTTTGACATGAGAAGGCTTACGTAGCATACAAGGGCTTACATGGCATATAACTTATCAAGACTAGACAAGTTATCAAGGATACATGTCAACGATTGGTGGAAATTAATATTTTATTTTAATTTAGATTAAACAAATTAATTAATTTAAATTAAAGTAAATAGAAATGCCAAATTGGGCAAGATTGATTATTTGATTTTATTTAAATTAAATAATTGATTTATTGATTGATTAATGGAAATAAATCACGAATCAAGCCACAAATCAAGTACAAATCTATCCATAGGCAATGCTTGGAATATCTATAAATACAAGGCCCCCAAGGCAAAGGAAAGGGATCCATAAATCATTCAAACATCCAGACGCTGCCAAAGCTCAAGCATCCAAATCCTCAAAACACTTTGAAGAAAGAAAGCTCTCTGTGTTTTTCGCCAAACCTTCAAAGAATCATCAAGCACTACTACCTGTGCTGATCCTTCAAATCGCCAAAACCTCGCAATAACCGTTTATCCGAGATCAAGTCATCACGACCCTTGGACTAACAACCTACAGATCTACATATTTTTTCAAGATCGATTCAGAATAAACTTGTAAACAGATATTGTAACCTTACAAATTCATTAATACAATGCAATTACTTTGTACACATGTTCTTGTCTTATTTGTCAGGATTTTCGTATTTACAACCCCATCAAAAATCTGATTCCTGAAGTTGAAACTCTGCTGGAATTGTAACTAATAGGAACACCATTATTGACAAAGCTAGTAGGACAATCATAATGACAAAGCTAATAGGACAATCATTATTGACAAAGCTAACAGGAACACCATTATTGACAAAGCTACTGTCAGTCATTGCTTATTAAAATATATATGTCTGAGTCGTCCAACATTTGAAGCAGTGAAATCGTTTTAGTTAGTGGAAATATGCAAATTGGAACATATTTTCCACATTAAAAAACTTGAGCCAGAGGGCCGGACAATATTTCCACACTTGATCAAGTTTTCTAGTATTGAAAAGTTCATGGATATCAAAGCTACTGGGCATGGAGAAAACGACCGAGCCGAAGAGGCTTTTGATGTGACTATGGCTGGTGTCAAGGGCCTTGTTGATGCCGGCACAGTTCACGTACCCAAGATATTCATAGGGCCACCTAATGAGCTCACCCAGTTTGCCATGTGTTACGAACCGAACATGCAAATTCCAGTCATTGATCTCCATGGCACCCATAAGCAGATTGTGGATGAAGTTCGGACTGTGTCCGAAACATGGGCATTCTTCCAAGTGGTCAATCATGGAGTCCCAGTGAGTGTACTGAAAGATATGATCTATGGAGTAGTCAAGTTTAACGAGCAGGATCTTGATGCCAAGAAAGTTTGGTATAACCGTGATCGAGCAAAAACTGTCAGATTCAATAGTAACTATGACCTGTACCACGCGCGAGCGGCTAATTGGAGGGACACTCTGATTTATACCAGGACTGCTGTTGATGATCCCAAACAACTCCCTTCAGTTTGTAGGTACTTATTCATCGTCACTTTGTCAATGCTATTGTTTGTGTCGTTGATGATTTGGTGTATTTTCTTTTGGTTACTGGTTGCCTAATTTATTGATAAATTGATTATGTGTGGTGATTTTACCGTTGATCCTCGCTTTTGAACTCAAGCTATACATGCACTCTAATCCTATATTGTCCGATTGTCCGACAACATATGTTAATCTTGTTAATTTGTCTTATAACATAAGATGTTTATATTCTACCCATGTGTCTTGGGTTCGAAACTTCCCTCTTATCTGAATTATTGTAATAGTTTCGAACTCTTCTAAATAATAGCAAAACATTTCAACAAAAAAAAAAAAAAAAAAAAACAGAAAAGAAGTTTTAATTAATTACTAAACTGTCTCATAACATAAAATGTTTATGTTACCAAACTGTAAATCTAAAGCACCTTTTATGCACATGATTTTCTAACCCACAAGAATTGTAGGGCTGTATTCAAACGATCAAAAATTGGTTTCAATAACTGAAAAACATAGCTCCCTCTAAGAAGTTTGTCCTAATATATGTATAGGATGGCACGAACGTTAGTGAGATTTCGACAACTTTATGCGAAATTTATAATGGGACCCTTCTTAAGACGGTCTTCAAAAAAAAAAAATTGAATAATGCATTGAAGCTAAAAAGAAATAATGAAACTGAAACAAACCTTAAAAATCATACTAATTATAAGTGTTCAAATATCATTGAATTTAAAGAAAGCTATAATAATAAACATATTACTAAATAATCAAGAACCATTTCAATCTTAAAAAAACCAAATGAACAAAAGTTTCAAAATGTCCAGCATTGAAGTTTCACTTAAAGACGGTAGTTCGTGCATCTTCTGCTGCAAAATCATCAGTTAAACCTTCATAATCAAATTTTCTAAAAACCCCTTTCAATCGATATCAAAGCAACCCCATTTAAACTTTCTTGCAACATGGTTGATCGCAAAGTATGATTTTAGTAACTTTAACTTTGAGAAATTCATTTCCCCAATGCAATGATAACAGGTACAATAAAACAATTTGTATGCAATGGTTGCAGTAGAAAAATAATGCAACATCTTCAACTAGTTTAATACATCAATGGATGACTTATTTCTTTTAGCAAACGCTATCATAAAAGACTCAACTCTACAAATAATGCATCCCCATCAACATAAAAGAAGTCAACTCTCTCTTAGGAAAGTTTTTAAAATGACAACAATAATGTTTCAATTTATCATTGTCCATTGAATTTAACCTTTCATGATTGAACAAAAACCAAATATATCATCATATGTTTGATATTTTTTGAACCTTCTCTTCGCTGAACCAATAGCTTGATCTATTATATATAAAAAGTGATAAACTCCAAGATTATTTCTCCATTGATTATTGAGTTGATTGGGATATGAGTCATCATCATGCTCATCAAAATGTTTTTTTCTACGAACTTCAAGCTTTTTTGGAACAAATGATATATATATATATATATAGTTTTTTATTTTTTTTATTTTGAACAAATAATATTATCTACACCAAAGGAGAGAGAATACGCTTAACCTCATAATGAGTTAGCAATAATGTGGTTTAAATTCATCTTTAGTGAGAATCAAACATAAGACCTCTCACTTACAAGTGAAAAAGAATACCACTAGGCCGTAGTATTAAGCGACAATAATGTTTTATATTAGATAGCAAAAAAATTTTGAGAGACCCTCAAATATTGAGCCCTTTGCGATCGAACGCTTCGCTTTCCCAAAGCCACCTCTATAATAATATAGTTATGTTAACACACCCTTCTATCAATTCAACTTTTGATGACTAGGAAAAATGTTTTTATTTTTATTTTTTATTTTTTTGTGACCTTTTAACCCAAAATCTGTTACATATTGGCTCACTCCTATACACGGAGATGAAACAATTGAGTACACAAAGCATGTCATAAATTTGGGAGACCAACTTTTTGGATTATTATGGGAGGCTCTTGGGCTCAAACCAGACTACCTAAAGGAATTGGGATGTGCTAAAGATTATACCTGTGCGTGCCACTACTCTCCAGCATGCCCAGAACCAGAATTAACAATGGGAAGCAGCAAGCACTCAGTTCCTTATTTCCTGACTATTCACCGTCAAGATCAAATTGGTGGCCTTCAAGTCCTTCATGACAATCAGTGGGTTAATGTGAACCCAATTTCAGGTGGCTTGGTAGTATATATAGGTGACCTTCTTCAGGTTTGTTACCAAATACATTATTTTTGCTGCTATTGTAACGTTGTGTATGTATGTATATAGTCGCCAACTTTCTAAAGTTTCCTGAAAATTTGTCCAGGTTATGCCAAATGACAAGTTTCAGAGTGTTCAACATAGAGTGCTTGACCCTTAATCTGTAACACGGAAATAAAAGTAACAACTAAACTTGAAATTGTTTAGGAGGACCATTTGGTTTTTAATTATGTGCTTGAGATATGGAGGAAATTAAAAATGATACAACTTTAGTGAAAGAGTTGTACAGCGAAGGTTGATACAACTTTGCAGTTAGAGTTAGGAATCATAACTCAATTGAACAATGGAGCAATTAGATCTATGTCTAAATTTGAAGCTGTATTGTAAATTGAGGCTAATTGTAACTTACCTATATCCTAAGAAGACTACAAAAATTTCAAGTGAAACATATTTAAGATACAATTTTTTTTCTTTTAAAAAGGGAACTAGTTGGTGACTTCGTCACGTTAGTCCCTCTTTTGGGGCACGAAAGACTTATAAATGCATTCCAATCCTTGGCCACCATCATTTGATTCACTAGCAGCAGGAATCGAACTCAGGATGTGTTGTGTGGAATACAGGCCTGGAATTCGTCCCCAACCACTGGTCCCTCGTGGTGGTTATATTTAAGATACAATTGAATGTAACTAATATTATAGTGATAGATTAGAAGCAAAAACAAATACGGAAATTGACATAAAGGGCCATTTTCTTGTTCTTGGGACCAAAATAGGACAAACTGGCCATGCACACCTTGCACAAAAGTGAAATGACGAAAATACCCACATTTAAATTTTAAAAACTCACAACTGATGGCATCATTTTTCTTAGCATTTCAAAGAGAAGGATGTCGGGAGAGAGCTGTGAGCTATGAGTTTTTGGGTTGAGCTCAGATGTGTGAGCTCTGATTTTGAAAAGAGAGAAGTCAAGAGAGAGCTAAGAAGACTGCACTCTAGGTTTTGGGGTTGAGCTTAGAACTATGAGCTATCATTTTGAACACAGGGATGTCAAGAAAAAGCTGAGAAGAGTGAGGTCAGGATTTTTGGGTTTGAGCTCAGATCTGTGAGTTATGTGTGTTATTCTTCCATAACCAAACACAACAAAGTCTTCCATCCTTAAAGATAACACGTTTGTACCATATTTTCCTATTTTGGCTGAAAAGTTTCCGTTTTTTTTCGGCCACTGAAGTTTCAGCAAGCATATTTCGGCACCCTAGGCATTGGCTTGGTTTTGTAGACTACTAAGGTATGATGTTTAATTCCAAGTTCCTATATCAATGATTTACGGAATATATCGGTTGTCTGTAACATGAATTCATGTATAGAAGTTCAGTTAGGGTTTGTGTTTCATGTTGGGGCTATGGTTGTGGAAAAAACTTCATTTTTGACGTGGTAGAATATTGTGTATGTTCCAATTTATGTTTCAAGTGTTCAATTGTAGAAATTTGGGAAATTTTTTCGTTATCTACAAATGGTGTACATGGTGTGCATGGCTATAACTTAATATGACAATCGAGAATTTTCACTAGTTTTGATGCACGTATGTTATATGTAATTTTAGGTTTGTGCAACATAACATGGGAGAAGTACTTGTAACGATTTGACACAATCGAATGTGGGTTGCATCTGATAATGAAAAGGAGTACGCAGGTGCTGAAGAGAAAGGAGTTATTGTGTCTAAATCCATAAAATGCATGGACTCTGAGGAGATTGTTTTGAATATTGCGACTAGTGGTATTTACATGGTAACTCTTGCCTACTGAGTTTCAATGGGGTCGAATGCAAATAAACATGTGATGATTCGGTACGATAATGACGTGCAGTAGTTTTTGGAGTATAGCCGGGTAGTTATTGCTACGAGGGTGACACTTATATATGTATTGATACTCGACAACTCAACCAGTATGAACCAACTTCCCTCTAACCTCCCATTATGCTCTGATGCAGGGTCTACTTTTGCACCTAAAGTAAGGGTTTTGGGTATTATAGAGGTGTCTTTTCAAGACGGCGATGACATAGATTGGGTTACCGTGGTGGACTTTGATTCCTAGCATTACGAATTTGATTCAATTGCCGTGAACAAGTATACAAGTGAACATGTCATGTTGATGCCTTATGATACTAAGGCAATTATGATGGTTATGTGAAAAGGCCCAACTATGGTGTTGACGGAAATGCGGATTGGCAGCCGTTTTTTAGAATGGGCGACCTTTTTGTCGACAAGCATGATCTGTTCCAAAGGCTTTAAGTGAAAGCGATTAAAGGGAATTTTCAGTACCTGGCCAATGTATCGTAGAAGAGGTGTCTCATTGTCAAGTGTAAGGATACCCACTATCTTTGGCATATTTCTACATACCCACTATCTTTGGCATATTTCTACATACCGGAAAGGCAGTGGCGATTTTAAGATTGCAAAATATGAAGTTCGCCACCAGTGTGATTTAGTTCAAGTACTGTCATCTGCAAGTCAACACGTGACTTATCGGTCACATGATGAGGAATAAGTTCAACGATCCCAATATTGTGTACACTGCTAAAGATGTCATACGAGATGTTAAAACTACTCTTGGTGTGACAAATATCTATAGGACAGCATCCTGAGCCAGATCAGTCGCTTTTGCATCTTGATGCGATTCACCCGATGAGTCGTATGCCAATCTCCCCACGTATTGTGTTGAATTTGAGAGGCTAAATCCAAGTAGCAAGACTGCAATTCTAACTGACGGAGGTCACCAATTTCGGGACTTCTTCTTCACAATTGGTGAGTCAATCAAGGGTTTTCTATCATGGATGCATCCAATTATTGCCATTGATGCATCTCACTAAAAATAAATGTACAAATTTATTCTTTTAGTTACGACAACGTTTAACTGCAACTGCATGAAGTGATTGGGAATGTACCAAATTTAATTATAATTTCACACCGGAACACAAGCATTTTAAACGTCGTCAATAAGGTTTTTCAAGACACTTAACATGGTTTATGTATGTATCACTTGAAAGGTAATATGAAGGCTAAGCTTCGGTTAAGAAAGAATGACAAGTTTTTCTTCCACTACCTCAAGGCTGCGAAATCGTATTCCTATACTGAGTTTGACACACTTTGTGAAGGTGAAAGAATTGGTAGCAAAATACCTAGCTGATGTGGGAGTAGAGAAGTGGTCGCATGCACGAATAAATGGGAAGAGGTATAACCTAATGGCAACTAACACTGCGGAAAGCATTAATGAAATTACTAATTTTCTTCATAGGGAAAATTGAAAGTAAGTTTTAATTCAGAATTGATTAGTAAGAGTTACAATCGTCCACTGCCTCGCTCATTAACCTAATGAATCATACATTGTGTAAGGATGAGATTAAAAAGATATAAATGAAATGAGTATGGTTAAGATTAATTAATTAGTTAATTAATCATATGAACATTTCATATGTGGCTTTAAATTATTTAGAATTTTTAGACCCAATGGGCTTTGGTAACTAAAGCTCATTATGTTTAAGTTGTATGACAATTTAGACAAAATGGGAAATGAGGCCAATGACAAGGGAAACTGTCCATGTTATAGAAGAGAGTTAATTTCAATTTTGCCACTCAAATGTGAGTGGGTTTAAAAAGATATTTATAGCTCTTTCCCCATTACGGTTTCTTTGAGGCAAAGATGGAAACATTTTCTCTCTTTTCTTTCTAAGGAGGCTGGCCATCTAGCAGAGTTTTTCTAGCATCAAAAGTTCTCTTATTTGTCCATCTTGTGTTCATCACACATTCTTGGTGTGGAGACTTAGAGGCGCCATCTCTTTGGTGGTTGGAGATTATATTCATTCAATCCTCAAGGAGTAAAGAAGTAAGGAAGAAGCAAAGATCCAAGGTGCAAGGAGAGGACTTGAAGACCCTCCACTTAGATGACTACGTTGTGAAAACAAAGATAAGCTTCAAGGGTGCGAAAGCTCAAACTTTCCTCTTTCATTTTTGCAATGAGTCTTGGTTCACCATCCAATAGACCTTGAATTTCGTGGGTCTTGGGTTTGTTTTGAGTTCAAACTTTCTTTAATTGTTAATATATATGAATGTGTTGCTCAAATAATCTCACATAGTTAAAAAAAAAAAAAAAAAATTCCTTCAGCACCACAATCAAAACTACCATTACCACAACCATCAGTGTCATCACCGTTCCCATAATTCCAATTTTTTTCATCAACAAATTTTAAATTTCTATGTTTATGAATCTAACAAGAAAATTTGTGGATTTTAATTTATAAATTCTGACATTTTTTTTCAAATTCTAAGTTTATTTCCTCATCCAAATAGATGTATAGTGAAACTATATACATTTTACATCTTCATTTTTAACAAAAGATAATATAACCTACACTAAATTCATCTTTCTCTCATATACGAGAGATTTTTCAATGTGACTGGTACACAGGGTGGTACATCACGTGTCATTATACAAATGATGGGATATGTGTGCTAAAAAATTAATAACTTAAAAAATAAAATTTCCCACAATTCCTATTAAACCACATGATGTACTACTTGTGTTCCTGTCACAATTAAAATTTTCTCCTCATGTACGTCTATTATATATGTAGCATAAAATTAAAAATTAAAAATAAAATTGAAGTAGTTTAGGGGTTCGAATGTTGAACTTTATAAGATTGTTGAACTTGAAGTTTGATGGGGCTTTGTTATCTTTGAATTGAGATTCTCCTAGAGTTGGGACTGAATTTGTATACCCTTCTCAACTGAACTAGCCCAATCTTTTCGTCTGCGAATTTTCAATTTTGTTAGAAGTCATTCTTGTGTACAACTTCTCATACCACGTCAACATCCACATGAGACATACATAATGGAGACCATCGGCGTTTGGACCCACCAAAATAGGCCCACGTGGGACCCAAATGTAGGAGGTCATTTTGTATGTGGTGGTGGGTGGGGCGGGGGGAGGGGTGGTTTTCTAGGGTGGCAATGACCTTACATAAGACTATTGTGGTGCTCACCAGATGTTCAACAAAATTTCCCAATTTGTTCAAAAAGATAAAAATAAAAATAAAAAAAATTTCTCAATTTATATGCGTGCAACGCAGCACTCCGCAAGATGCCCATCTAATGCATGATGAAATACGGTAATTCAAAAATGCCATACAAATGAATGAAAGTAGATCAAATTTCCAGTGTTATTTTGATTTCAAAATAAAATATTAAAAACTTATACACCATCATCCATGGAAATAAAATTCTTGATCCACCTTTGACAAAGTTCAACAGGTGACAACATGTTATATTATTAAAGCGTCTGATTGATCAAAGTCTATATTCGAGAAATAATTACTGTTACTTGGTGAGCATGCACTAATTGTCATTAAATAAGTTTCCGATGCTCATAATCACTGTTTTACAATGGTCAACAAAAAAACACTCTTATATATAGTGTGGCTTCCGCCGCTTTGTTTGGTTGATACATTAGATCGGCAGGTCCGGTCGGGTCAAACTCGATAGGTCCGGTGGCATCTACGCGCCTTATGGCGCGTACGGAGGAAACAATCAGTTTGATTATGGGTGAAGCATGCCAGATTTGCCGACGCTATTTGATCGTAAGCATGTTGGTTGAGAAAGAATCTGGGAATCCCATTTTTGTTCAGCCATTTTTCTTGATTCGTTCACTTCAACTCTTTCTTCCGCTTTTATCTGTTGTAAATTGCAGTCCAAGTTCTTCACTTTTCACAACAATCAAACTCACCCAGTTGGAATTTACCCCAATTCTTTTCCGGGTAACAGATTCTTGGGTTCTTGAAAGGAAAGGACTAGTGGGTTGGTGAGCTTTCTTCTTATTCTTTTCTGGGTGATGAGTTTTTTACGTGAGGAAACATGGGGTTTTTTCTCTGACCCAGTAAGAATCCGATACGTTTCCGGGTTTTAAGAGGAATAATCAGATGAGGGATTTTCCTGGGACGCCCGGGACTTTGACTGGCCTTCTTCTCAGGATTTCCCAATGCGTCTTTGCTGCCGGGTCCATTGCTTTCATGGCTACCACTGCCAGCTTCTTCAATTTCACCGCTTTCTGGTATTTTTCTTTCTCAAATCACTGATTTCTTATTAGATTTTGATTGCAGAAGAACAGATTTCTGGCTAGACTGTAGTGTTTATAGAGAATGAGTCAACTGAACGGACACACTTTCGGGATACGTAAATATTTAAATGTAAGCAGAAGGAATTGGGAAGTTCCTCTGCTGAAGTTTTGACTATTTCCTTAATATGACATGAGAAGTCAATTAGCATTATTAGAATATCTTCATTGGCCTTGTTGAATTGGTTGCTATCAGCTCAATTCTGCGTAACTCGATTATATAAGTTTCAGATTTCAGCTTCTTTTGGTTGATAGAATTAAGCACTTATGAGTTTCTAGGCCATATAATTGAGTCGCTGCCACTATACTGCAATGCCAATTTCATCCAGCTATGATGCATCACATGGCGTTTCTTGGACCGTAAGTTGTCCGGTATTGGGTTAAGCAGTGCTGATTTTGCAGCTACCTGAATTCTTCAATGGGTCTGCAACTGATCTGGAGTTTAGTACTTGCACTGCTAGATGTATACTCCTTGGTGAAAATGAAGGTCCTCCACAACCCTGTATTGGTTAGCCTCTTTGTTGTTGGAGACTGGGTCAGCCTCTATAAATCCGCGACTTTGTTTTCCTCTTACATGAAATCTGTGTTCGTACTTCATAGCGCTTGCGGTTTAACAGCTTACTCGTTGAATGTTTCAATAGGTTACAGCAACATTGTCTCTTGCAGCAGCTTCGGCCTCAGCAGGCATAACCATGTTGTACTTTAGTGATCTGAGTGATTGTAATTCCGGAGAGGAATGCCAGAAATACCAAATTGCAGTTGGTTTGGCGTACATGAGCTGGCTAACAATTGCAATTTCTTCTCTGATTATGCTCTGGCTATTAGCAGCATGTTAGATGGTCCTCCTCTGTCATACATATTTCTCTCTCTTTACAACAAAAACAAGAAATTGCAGTGTCTGTAGAAAAGGAAACAAACTTGATAGCGCATAGCGGTAGAATACTCGAAAACTACTTTCATTATGTGCAGTTAGATCAGTTGGAAAAGAGTTGTCTCAACTGGAATTGTAGAATTGTTACTTGTAGAGTGGAATTAATAGCAAAGAGAATATTACTACTTTTTTTTGTCGAATTTGTCAAAATTGGCGACGATCCGAATTGATTAGTGAATATTACTTGGTTCCTTAAACTTGAGGAGTTGATCCTGAAGAAATTGGGATTTCACTATAAAACCAATTGGGAATATGCGCGTATGACCGTTTGGCTTCACATGTGGAACGACTTGGTCTGATACCTTGAAGAAATTGGGGTCCCATAATAAAACCAATTGGCAATATGGGAAATAGTCCAACTACTTATAAGCACATGCAAAGTTTTTCTTCTCATCAATGTTGGATTCATTTTCAACCGATCCTCCATGACTGCAACATGTGAAAACAATAATAGCAAAATCTTATGCACCATGTGTCACACTCGTGAGAAGAGATTTTCAAAATATATACAAAAACTTAAATAAATAAATAAATTGTACTATTGGTGTGGCATCTTACTGGTAGTCTAGTACATATTAATTAGTTTTTTTTCTTTTTTTTTTTTAAGTAGCATATGGTAAGTCTTGCGCAGCTTTTGTTTAGATGCTTCAAGGGAACAATATTGGATGGGTGTCTTTTCTTTCCTTTCAAAACAAAGAAGTTTCAATAGTATAAACACAATGCCATCCACTTTGAGCGGTCCTCACCTCACTCCTCATGCTAGTGTGTCTACTTGATGCTGGATCCTACTTGAAGTATGTTAATTATTTTATACCAAAATCCACATGAACCCATAGCTCTCTGAAATTATTTCCCTTTAATTATTGAATTTTTCGCCACACTTCTAATTTTCATTTATCCAGTAGATATTATAAATCGGAACATAGTAAAATTTTGACCATCTTCCTCTAACCAATGTTCAACAAAAACAAAAAAGACTTCCTCAACAAGAACAACTCACATGTCTCATGTTAATATACCCTACCAGCGTCATATGAGGTCATAGAATTCAAATGATTTTTTTTTTTGAACAAACGATAGTATTTACACTTAGGGGTGGAGGAGCGGGCTAAGCCTTACGATGAGTTTGCCATAATAATTGGTTCAACTTCGCATTTAACAAGAATCAAACCTAAAACCTCTCACTTTTAAGTGAAGAGAGATACCACTAGACCATAATGCTAAGTGGCAAAATTCAAATAAATTGAAGTGGGATGTATTGTTGTACTCCTAGAATGGAGATATAGAAAGGCATATGAGTTATCATTACTTGCATATCCACCATTTGAGCAAGAGTCTTGTACAATGGTACAACAGTTGAAATAGCGCTCGTGGACAGCTAGCTCGACACAATCATAACATGAATGTCACTAAGGACCTACTAAAAAAAAACATCCTTGACTTGTGATGTTTAGTGAATATGCAGAATGAGGAATACTAGTAACCTTCTTATTCTTCCTTTAGGGCTCCTCCTTCTATCCTGCAGAAGGTCACCCTTCAATGATCAAATTTGCCAGATACCAATCAAATCCCAAAATCGTTTAGTCATCTAATGATTATCCAATAAATAGACAAACCATGTTATTGAATTTTATTTTTATTATTTATTATACAATGAATTGGTAATGAACTCATCATTCACTAGACCATAGTATTGAATTGCACCATGCTATTGAGTCATATACATAAAAACTTGACAACATTAATCGAGTTTAACGATTTTTGATTAGGTTACATTTTTGTAAAATTGATGATTAAAGGGTGAACTAGAAAGTAAGCGGTTCCAATCTTTGAGCAACATTGCAGAATGAGAATGAGAACCAAGAAGGTCCAACTGAGAAGGATAGTAGCCTCCCATAACAGAATATGTAAAATATAGGTGACCAATTTTATGAAATAGATAAATACATGATGATTATTTGCAATCAATTCAATAATAAAGTTCTCATTGCTAATGAGATTCTCTAATGGTTCATCAAAATTAATGATGCAAAAGTCATATTTCCGAATGGCTGCAATGAAAAAGAATAGGCAGACAAAAAACTACTTTCACAGGACAGAATACGCAAAATCACAGAATGATGGAAAAGTCTTTATGATACATAAAAAAAATCTTCTCTAATTGGAACTTAGAAGTTACTTTATAATCTTGAAATAATATTGGATTAATATATATTTGCCATTTGAGCAAACATGGGATCGAATTAAGCCAGTAGATTAATCAAGAACCTCATACTGTCAACATGAAACAAGAATCAGGTCCATCATGCCCTATATGAACGTATACATGCATGACATGCTTCTCCAGTTTGTCTAGAATTGAAATAGAAGAAGGAAGAAAGGCGGCCGCCAACCGGAGGAGGTTACGGCACAGGAGTTACGTAGTAGTAACCTCAAGGGACTATATAGAAAGTTCAAGCCACACTTCCTCATGCTTTTAGCACAGATGGGGTATACATTTCTGTATTTTATAACTGAAGCGTCCTTCAATCATGGGATGAACCCTCATGTCTACGTAACTCATCGACATATTGTGTCTGGCATAGTGATGCTCACTTTTGCTTATTTTCTTGAAAGGTATCTGTATGTGTGTAAAGTTGCATTTATACTTGCATACGGCAACATTTTTGAGTCTGACAGCCTAACAAAATATGTTAAGACTGTCTGATAATAAAATATTTTCCGATTCTTCATACATGTTAATTTGTGAATCTTTTACCCTCCTGCAGAAAAGAGAGACCAAAGCTCACATTTTCTCTTTTCTTGGAACTTTTTTTACTTTCTTTTCTGGGGTAAGAACATGTAGAATTAGAACCCATATATGCTTCTGTTCAAGGCTTAAATTAAAACGCTAATTAAGCTCACTTTTTCCCTCTTTCTTTCCAATGGTTATAGGTGGGTTTGACATTAAACATGAGCTTTGCAAGCTTAAGATACACCTCTCCGACCTTCCTTGCATCAATGGTCAACACCATAGTTTCCCTAACCTTTGTAATTGCAGTTGTACTGAGGTTAGTAAGCCTACTTATTCGTATATAAATCCAAGGCATTAATTCACATTTTATCCTTAAGAGATTACTTTTTCAGGTTGGAGGTTCTTAATGACACGCCCCGACCCCGATATTCCCCGAATACCAGGATAGGCACGTGCTGGCCGACACCCGAGGGTGACGAAAGCCATTTATTAAGTGCAAATGCTGAAAATAAAGGATAAATAAGGTTTATAAATATAAAAGAATAATGAATATGCAAATAAGGACCGTGTTCAGAGCACACCACTAATCTAGAACACTAACAGAAAATAATATAAAAGTGAATGAAACAAAGAAGTGGGTCCTACACCGAGAGGACTCGAAGATGCCGATGCGGAAGTGCCTGGACGTCGGGATTGTATGCCTTGATTCTAAGTCCTGAAGGGGGCGCAAAACAAACATGAGTGGACCAAGTTGATATATATATAATAAAACAGTTATCAACATACTAACCCCCAGGTTTTATGAAAACACATATATATAATGATAAACATAGGTTTTCCGAAACCTAGCATGTCGTGCAATGTCTCAAATCATAATTCGCATATATAATAAACACTAGTGAATGTCCAATATAACACTTCAGGCCCCATGCCGGCTCCCCGTCTCTGAGCACACAGTCAGAGGAAAATACACTTCAGGCTCCTTGCCGGCTCCCCGTCTCTGAGCAGACAGTCAGAGGAAAACACACTCCAGGCCCTATGCCAACACCAAACCGTCGCCCGGGACGGACCGGATCTATCCCTACGTCCCGTAGCGGAAAGGACCACTAGGTAGGTATAAAACCAGTGAACATACATATATTGAAAAATCAACTTCATAGTATAAAGTCATCCATCATCTATACTATAAAGAGGTGTTCTAAACATGTTCTAAATATCATATCGTCATCCATCAGATATTCTACAAGAACATGGGTTATAGGAAAAATAGTAATAATTCAAACTAGCCTTAGTAAGCATATTATCTCAAAACGTTTCATAAAACATAATCGTAAAGTCATGTTTTTTTGTGTATGCAATTCTACCATTAAAACATGCATTTTTAGAAGGGGTCCACTCACAGTACTTCACCGTCGAAAAGCCACGTCATCTAGCGAAGAAGGAAACGCCATCGATAATCGCCCCTAATCACATAAAGGGTACATTTAGTCAAACTCTACTCAAACGATTGAATTTGGGAAAACGGACATCGGAAACGGGTTCAGGACGTCGAAATTAGCCTAGGATGGGTCCCGCACGAAAACCCAAAAAGTCAACCCCGAGGTCAAAGTCAACGGTCAAAGTCAAAGTTGACCGTTGACCCGGTCAACGGTCAACGGGTCAAGGTCAACGGGTCGTGGGTCAACCCGTCAGAGTCAACCGGGTCAACCCGGTTTAGGGTTTGGGTATTGGATCCGGGTTTGGGCCCTAGGGTTTTGGGTTTAGGTTTTTAGGTGAGTTGGGTTGGGCTTGAACCCATACGGCCCAAAGGCCCACAACAGAAAGGGTGATGGGCTTTGGGCTAACAGGCCCTAAGGCCTAAATAAAAAGGGGAAAAGGGTTTGGGCTGCAACCAAGGCCCTAAGGCCTTTGGGTTTTTAAAAGAAATAAACTAAAAAAATAAAAACTGAAAAGGTTGGGCTTTTAGGCTAAAACCCGAAATGGCCTAAGGCCCGTGGGGAAAAAGAATGGCCCGAAGGCCTGGGTGCCCGGAGAAGAACACCGGAGCTTCCATAGCTCCGGCCGACGCCAAAACTACAACCTAGACCCCGATCTAGGTACCAAAATGAAGCACTAGCCGAGATGAGTAGTTTTATACCTTGGGTTCGCCGTGAAACGGCTTGTGATGGCCGGAAAAGCCCTCGGAACCCATCCAAGTCGCCGGAAATTTGGGTGCCTTCACCCGTGCCAAAAACACTCCAAACCTTGGAAATCAAGAACCCAAACTCAATAACCACATTTAACCAACATCTAACTTGACTAAAAAGGAAGAAACCATGCTTACCCAACTGGAAAACAAGCTAAATTCGCCGGAGGTGCTCGTACCCTCTTGGCGCCGTGAACAAGGGAGAGAGAGAGAGAGAGAGAGCTAAGGTTTGATGATGATGATGGTGGCTGTGTCCTCAAGCAGGTGCAACAATGGGTGTGTGTGTGTGTGTGTGTCACGGGTAGAAGAAGAAGAAGAAGAGGAATGAGAGTTTTCGAAAAGAAAGGAAAAAGGTGCAGACAACAAAAGAAAAGAAGGAAAAGAAGAAAAAAAGAAAAAGAAGAAAGAAGAAAGAAGAGAGGAGGGACACGGCAGGGGGGACAAAACAGGGGGTGGGCCCCTTGGGCTCACCAAATAAGGTTCAAAAACAATTTTAAAAAGGAAGGTATCCCTAAACTTAGTGAAAATACAAAAATACTCATTTTCTTCCGTAAATTCCGGGACGGGTTGTTACACTTTACCTTCAAAATCCTCGAGGGTTAGCAAAAGTTTTCGGTACCCTATTCTCCTTAGCTGGTGTGATGACCATGACATTGTACAAGGGGCCTATTATCAGAAATTTATGGCCTGCACTAATCCATGTTGAAGGAAAATCCTCCATCCATGAGAACTGGTTGAAGGCTTCAACACTAACTGTTACAAGCTGCATAACATGGTCGGCATGGTACATCATGCAGGTTTCACTCCTTACTCAAACTATACTTACAAATATACATATATATGTCGAATTGTTTTCTAATGGAGTAATGAAGTTAACCGAAAGTGAGATGTTATTCTCTCCAAAAAAGTTATCATACTTTCTCTGCTGTGAAAAAATAAGCTAAAGAGTGCAAAATGACTTTTTTGGAATGCTAATAACAATGATCTGACCTAAAATTTTAAAAGTGTAGTTATCCAAAGAATATGTGGCCGAGCGCACATATTGATCACAATCTCAACCCTCTCAACCACCTGAATACAACATTCACCGGTTAACTGCAATTTGTTTATTTGTGGTTTACCCACATTACAGAATCCCTGCATATATGTGAGACTACATATAGAATTTCTGATAATTTATATTGGTGATGTTGGCATGTGATGTATGCAAATAATTTTCTGATAAAGTTAAACTTATTGTAGGCAATCAAATTGAAAGGATATCCTGCACAACTATCATTGACTACATGGATGAGCTTTATAGGGGACAGCACAATCGGCTGTCTTCACCGTGTGTATAGAACATAGACGAGCTGCTTGGACAATCGAATTCAACATTGACCTCTGGTCGATATTATATGTTGTAAGCATCGGGATTTTCTGAAAACGACCGTGAAATTACGACCCATTTTGTACCATTTTGGTTTTTAGTTTTCATTGTTTTAGATGGAGATAGAAGATGGGAGGGAGGTGGAAGAAATGTACGTGAAATGCTACATAAAATGTTTACTAAAAACTTAAAACTAAATAGTTATTGGTAGGACTAATTTAATGTGGTGTGCATGGCAGGCAGTAGTGTGCTCAGGTCTAATAATCTTCATTCAACTATTGTGCACAGAAGAGAAAGGGCCAGTTTTTGTGGCCATGCTTAATCCTGTTTCAACAATTTTGGTGGCTGTTTTAGCTTACTTTGTCCTAGGTGAAAGACTTTATACTGGCAGGTAATTTCTTTTTCGCTTTACTTATGCAATCTAATATGATTTTGCTGATAATCGCATGTAATCTAGAGTTTAACTTAATGGTACCCGATTAAGAGAATGGACTATGCCAATTTTCCTCCGTATGCAAAACTAAACTTTTGTATAATGCACATCAGTGAACCACATTATGTGACCTTACACCACCACGTTGTGTTACAATCCTGGATTTATCTAAAATTTCATGTGTGGTTTGTTCAGCATAGTAGGGGCCTTCATTTTCATCCTTGGGCCGTACTTGCTGCTGTAGGGAAAAGATAGTGATGAAGTTTACGTCAAGGCGGAAGAGTCATCTTATCAGACAACACATGGAGAGCATAATTAAGGATAATGGCATACAGAAAATCACTCCACCTCCGCCACCTGCGCTGGGTTTTGAAATTTCATGTAGCTTTGTTGCGTTGGTATTTCAACTCTTGATGGGGTGGGGATGGGGGTGGCGGTGGAGGTGGAGGTGGAGGGCGGCTGTGTTGATTCTGAATAAAAGAGAGTGTTGAAGCCAACTGAATGAGTGTAATTTCTTTAGCTATACAGCTGGTATAGTTCAGGTTTTAGGCTTTCAGCATTTTGCCAAAACCTCACGTATTGGCGTCATTTGGAACACTTGCGTTCGTATATTCGGGTTCCAAGGGGAGTGAGAACATGATTAGGAGGGAATCCACGAATTTCTTGTGGTGCTTCCTTTTTCTTTAGTGGTGCCATTCAGCATTCACACATTTTTTTTTTTTTACTTCTTATATACTATGTTGATTTCTGTTATTTGATTTTCTTCAATTCATTCGATCATTCGATCAGATGGTCGAAATTAGGAAAGGTGTGTAAAAAGTTAAAAAAGAGTAAATAGCAATATCCTTGTTTGAAAACTGCGATACGCTAATCACAGAGAAAATTAAAATCTCATTAACAAACTACTTGGATGCTCAAATTATTCTTTATGCACGATCTTCACAAAAAGATGAGGAGATGGAAAAGATTTATATTATATCAAGCCGAATAAATCATTGTTAAATCTAGTGGGTCATATTTAAGTTGACTTTGTCACAAGATAGAAACTATATTCGAATTATCGGACTCAATGGGCCAATATAAAAATGAAACACAAACATATTTTTTCAAACGTTCTAACGCACTCCTGTAAACATTGATTTGAAATCAATTCCAAAACCTGGCCGCAGTTCATCAAAGTTTCAAAAGAAAAAATAAAATAAAACAAATTCTTTTTTGTTTGCAGAAAACAAATACAACAGCAACTATGTAGTTGATGGCAAAAGACATACGCAAATGATGTACACAATGCATGATTTATTAAATACAACTAGCCGAAATCGGGAGAATCGGCGATGACGGGTTAAGAAGGAGGATCGGCATTGTAAAAGGAACCCCCACCCCACGAGAACAAGCCATCTCACAACATAATTGTTCCAAGAACATCGCCATTTCCAAATCAATGGATTCAGAGAGTGCAGCAAAAGAAGACTCCAAAGCAGCAACTTGAGCATCCATTTGAGATAATCGAGTGTTGGGATTGTAGTGGGGCATGCATAGAAAGACCAGGATCGAAAGTGGGTGATACCAATGATAAGAACCTACTCAACTTAGACAGTACAGCAATGGAGAATTGGATGAAATAGAAGAGCGAGACGACAAGTGAGGAACTCATGCCTATTTTTTATTTAATAAAAATGATATATTCGTTAGAGAAGCAACACAGCCATTGCTCCCTTTAAGTAGTCTCTCCACTCAGAAATGCCAACTCAGCATTCCTTTACATAACTAAATCACTAAGGGACAAACCCTTTTAACGACTGGAATTACAAATAGAAATAATAAAATGCATTTCCTAACAAATAGTGCCACATCGGGACCAAACCATAGCTAGGATAGACTGCCATCTTGTTTGCCCCAGGATGATATGCAGTTGGCACCACCGGGTGGTTTAGAACAAACCCAGAAGGTGAAATTTCCATACTTTTCAACTGCTACTCCAACCGTTCTTTATCTGCTTTCTGTACAAGTTTCTCTTCACGAAATTCATTCTTCTACAGTCAACTATGTGAGTACTCAAAATTTATATCGTACTGATTCTCAAATAATTTTCTTAAATCCTTGCATCCAAATGCACCCTTAAGTTAATACCTTCGATTAACTGCAACATATTGGAAACCAGTCCATCGTCACAATATAATGGGGTAAAAGTTCTAACTCCAAGAAAGAACCTAACATAATGTTACAAAGGATAGACATAGGCTTACAAGCATTGTTCTCAAAATCTCCGCCTAGGCCCCGCCTAGGTGCTAGGCGGTTGGCCACTACTCCGATTAATGCATGGGTGTTAGAAAATTAAGAAATGGCACTTAAACCTACTAACGCGCCCGCCCAGCCTACCCAAACCTGCCTAGACACCCGCCTAGGTTACAACTCACTTAGACAGAAAATTGATAACTTTCATTTTGCATTTTATTTTTTTCAATAAATTGTAAGAGACTTGTTGAATACTTAAATGAACAGACATTATATGCTTGTTCCCCATGTTTTCATTATGTTCCAATACTTCATAATATATATATGTCATTCTATTTTGTAGTTTATGATGTAATTATATATATTTTAAGTATAAAGATACACTTATTTTGCACGAAATATAATAGATTTACTTAAATCCGCCTAGTCCGCCTAGGCACCCGCTTAGGCCCCGCCTAGGCGCTAGGCGCCAGCCCACCGTTCAATTAGCGTCTAGCGCCTTTTAGAATGTTGCTTACAAGACACATAAATAAGATTTAACACATTGAGAATTTACGTGTTTCGAAGTGGGAAGAAATTGATCTAAAGATTAGCAAGCAGTAACACAATAGATTATATCTGGTACCAACAAGGCAGATAAATTAATGATATAACATCTGAGCAAGGGATATTATGAAGGGAAGTGAATTTCGCATATCTTTTTTTCTCCTCGTACACACCCATGTATAGTTCTAGCCTTTGGATTGGATAAATCAAAAGGGAATAAAAAACACATAAAATAAAGATAAAATTGATTAAAATGCATTGAATTTCTAAAGGTTTCAAGGAAACCAGAAGAGGAAGAAATACCTCTTGTGGGTGCACTCTTTTTGCGCAACAATGAGAGTAAGCTACATTGTGCAAAAAACTTCGCGAGATGCAGGTTATTGTCGTCGCACAAAGACCTTTTGCGCGACGTATTTTACGCTGTCATCGCATAAACCCTTCTTTCACAACCTTTGCGCAAAGGGCTCCACGTGATGAAGGTTTAGTCATTCTAATTCTCAGGCAACGTTTTTTGTCTTTGCATGACAAACTGTGCTTCGTCACGCAAACTATTATTTGTAGTAATGATCTAGTTCACAATGTTATCATAACTTTTTTTTTCTATTAATAAAAAATAAATTAAAATAGTTCCTGAAAAATCTATGGTGCAAAGTTCATATTCCAAAAGAATGTAATGACATACATGATTCCTAACTAAGTAGCACTTTCTATATACAACAACAAAAAGTAGAGCTTTCGAATATGATTTTTGCGTCATAGAATAAAAAGTGGTCAATTAGGAGACAAGTTTTGCTTCTTTTCACAGAAAAGAATACAAAAATAATGATAGTAGATCACATTAGAACTTAATCAAGAACCTGATACTGTCAACACAAACAAGAATCAAGACTGAAATATATATATATATATATATATATATTCTGTATGAGTGCATGCACGATGTGCTCCTCCAGCGTGTCAAGTATTTAAATAGAAGAGAAGGAAGAAAGAGAAAAACCGGCAGCCGGAGGTGGTTATGGCACAGGAGGAGGGATGTCGTAATCGTGGGAAAGTTTATATGAAGTCCAAGCCACACCTCATCATGGGTTTAGCTCAGGTGGCCTTTACATTTCTATATTTTCTCACAGAACCTTCCTTCAATCCTGGGATGAACCCTCATGTCTACGTACTTATCGACACAGTATCAGCCCTAGTGATTTTCCCTGTTGCCTAAAATTATTGAGAGTTATATAAAGCTACATTTGTACTTAATTATAGGGTAACTTTCTTTTTCCATATTTATTGCTTGTTTTCTTTCATCACATCACAGTAAGTACAACATTTTTACATATTCTTTACAACGTAACATGTTAGACTGTCTGATAATAGAAGAACATTTTCCTACACCAATCACAATAACATTAACATTTCTAGTGATGGTTTCTTTTGCCTATGTCCTGCAGAAAAGAGAGACCAAAGCTCACATTGCTCTTTTCATAGAATTTTTGTTCTTTCACTTCTTGGGTAAGGTGTTTAGATTTTAAACCCCGTATATGGTTCTCATCATAAGGGAATAAATAAAAACCTAATTTATGCGTTGTTTTCAATAGTTGTAGGATAAGTTTGACTTTAAACATGTACTTTGCCAGCCTAAGATACACCTCTCCGACGTTCCTTGCATCCATGATCAAAATCATAGCTTCCCTATCTTTCGTAATTGCAGTTGAACTGAGGTTAGTACACCCATTCATCCATAAATTCAAAGCGTGAATTCACGTTTTATCCTTAACAAACGGCAATTGTTATTAGCACTCTAAAAAATCATTTTACTTCCTTGTTTATAAAACATAAAGCAGAAATTGCATTTGAAGAAGCGTAGAATGATTGTCTGGAATGTTAATAGAAGTTCTCTTATACACTACTTTTGATTTCGGCTAGAGGTTTATCTTTGAAGTCCTCACGGGTTAGCAAAAGTTTTGGGCACCGTCATCTCTTTAGCCGGTGTAATGACCATGAAATTCTACAGGGGGCCTATTATTAGAATTTCATGACGTCCATTAATTCATATTCAAGATAAATCCTCCATCCGCAAGAACTGGTTGAAGGGTTTAATTCTAACTGTTGCAAATGTCAATGAGTTCTCTAACAGGGTTAACAAACATTTAGGAAGTGCAGTTAACCGGTAAATATGTGGTGGAGCGCATATCAATTGTCTCAACCGTTGTCACTGGTTAACTGCAATTTTCTAACTTGCAGTTTACCCACATTGCAGAATTCCTGCATATTAGAGAATACAGATGATTTTTTTTTATAATTGATATGTATGCAAATAATTAAAAATAAAAATGAAAAATGTAGGTAATCACATTGAGAAGATATCCTGCGCAACTATCTCTGACTGCATGGATGAGTTTATAGGGGCAGCACAAGCAACTGCTTTTGCAGTATGCATAGGGCATAGAGCATAGACGAGCTGCTTGGACAATTGGATTCAACGTTGACCTCTGGTCAATATTGTATTCTGTAAGTATCAGGATTTTCGGAAAATGTAAACTTACTACGTTTGATAACCATTTTATTTTTAGTATTTGGTAAGTAGAATTAAGGAATGTGAAATGTTGTCATACAATAGTGAATCATTAAGATTCTTCTAATGCGGGTAGGCGTATGTCAAATGGCAGTTGGGTTAACATACAGTCTTCACTATGTTGGAGGAGGTCATGACGTTAAGTCTAATAGGAGATAGTAATAAGAATGAAAGAAGACATTGAACCCAACATTGACTTTCCTCGTTTTGCATAATTGCTTATCAACATACTTTTCCAACATCAGAAGAGAAGTACTACTAGACTAATAATCGAGTCTAATTAATAGTTGACACTTCACCTGTCACAGAATGTGATTAACTTGTAAGAGGGAGGGAGTTAGTTGTTTGGATGTAATAAACTTTCATGCGTGGTTTGCACAGCATAGTAGGGGCAGTTACTGTGATCACTGGTTTATACGACTTGAAGAGAACATTGATGATGACATACAAATGTGCTGCATGGTGAACCATAAAGATTAGATTGAAATCCATCGAGACAGAAATCACAAATCGAAATTCAAAGCCAGTAAACCGAAGAAGAAGAAGAAGATGAAGGTGACAAGAACAGTTTGTATGAGCAGACATGGGAGCAAGAAAAGTTCCATTAAAAATAGTTTTGCTTGATGCATTTGTTTGTCTGGCAAGTGCTCAAATTCCATCAATTTCAGTATTGCACAACGCATTTAATAAGAAATTCACAACAGACGGATAGAAAAGAAAAATGTTAGGAAGGAAAAAAATTCAGTGTATATGTTGCCAAGAACCAGTGCTGTCAGATATGCTCTTGAAAAAGGTTGGGGTATAAACAAGTAAAAGCAAAAATATGCTAAATACTGGACATTTACGAACTGTTTTATTCCAAAAATGAGAGCCTTCAAGCTTACATTTAACAATTCTGCTACACAAGTGCCACCAGCCAAATAAAGTCAGGCAATTGAAACAGCGCTGACATATTCTCAACAATCAATAAAATGGTCAGAAATGTAAATGAAGGCATCTAAAATTATCCAAGTGCTTTATTAAAAATCTAAGCAGCGGGGGGCCTAAGTTCATGATCACAAGATGTATCACGGGCCGATGGAGGCAAATAGTGCCACATCGGGACCAGACTATAGCTAGGATAGACTGCCATCTTGTTTGCCCCAGGATGATATGCAGCTGGTACCGCTGGGTGGGTTGGAACAAACCCAGAAGGTGAAATTGCCATACCTTTCAACTGCTGCTCCAGCCGTTCTTTATCTGCTTTCAGTACAAGTTTCTCTTCACGAAATTCGTTCTTCTCTGCCTGTAATATGCAAGAACAGTCAACTAAGTGAGTACTCAAAAGCTCTATCGTACTGATTCTTAAATAATTTTCTTAAATCCTTGCATCCAAATGCACCCTAAAGTTAATAGTAATACCTCTGCTTAACTGCATCAGATTGGAAACCAGTCCATCGTAAATGGGGTAGAAGTTCTAACTCCAAGAAAGAACCTAACATAATGTTACAAAGGATGGACACAGGCTTACAAGATACATAAATAGGATCTAACACACTAGGACTTTACGTGTTTCAAAGTGGTAAGAAACTGATCTAAAAATCAGCAAGCAGTTACACAACAGATTATATCCGGTACCAACAGGGCAGATAAATTAATGATATAACATCTGAGCACGGGATATTATGAAAGGAAGTGATTTTCGCACACCCTTTTTCTCCCCGTACACACCCATGTATAGTTCTAGCCTTTGGATTGGATAAATCAAAGGAGAATCAACGGACAAAACCAACAGGGGCATGTAAAACAAGAAAACAGGTGTGTGAATATCAATTCCCTATTCTTAATAGTTATAATTGCAAATGATCATAGTAATGGACTATTGTTTTGGAGAATGAATCCTTGTAGGCTCAGCTTACAGATGCCACAAATCAAGTCTATTGTAAAATTAGACGAATTGTATGATATTATCTCCATCAGAGGAGCTTGACCCAGGTATAAAGTAAAGCAAGGAGGACACTTGAAACTTTACCCGAGGTTAGCCCCAACCACATGGAAACAAAACAAGCATTACAATCAATCATAGACGCCCTATCACGGCTTTAAGATCCTCTATAGGAGTATTCTGTTCATTTCAGATCATCACAAGCAATAACCGCAGAAATTTGAAATACTAGACTGGAGAAATGGTTCGAAAGAATTAGCTGAAACGAACAGAATACTGCTCTTAAAATCAGTGTTATCGGTCTTCTCCAACACAATAGTTGGCTGAATTAAAGATAACCTTAAGCCAAATCTCATAACACTTGTAACAAAACCATAAAAGAATAAAAACAAAAACTTCAAGTAAATGATGTATATCGAACCTTTAAACTTTTAACTTCTTCAAGTAACTTTTGATTTGTTTCTGTGAGCTCCTGAGCTTCAGCTCTCAGCTGGTTCAAAACCCTTATGGCATCATCAAGTCTAGCAGCCTTGTCCGTCTTCGGCGGCCTCCTGGGCTCCAAAACACCGTTCAACTCCACAAACCTGCAACATATTAATCAAACAGCAATACGTTTCAATCACAAAGAAAACAAAGACTCACCATTCTTTTCATCATTACAAAACAACCCATTTCTTCAAATTTGTAAAAAAAAAAAAATAAAAAAAAAATTGAGATTGTATACATGCCTGTCATTCAATCTCTCCCTCCTCAATTTCTCACGGCAAGCTTTTGCCCCTGATCCAGAGCACGAATCCGGTCGTCCCCTTATTACCAAAACATCATCAATCAAACAATCAATTCCGTGACAAAAAGTTTGGAGCTTTCGTGACTAAGAACGCATTTACATTTCTGAAGATTTCGTGGAAAGCGGAAGAGGAAATACCTCTTGCGGGGGCACTCTTTTTCCTGTAACTGTGAAGCGGCGGCAGCAGGAACATCGAGGGCGGAGAATTCGAAATCGCCGAAAGGAGTGCGGTTGGGCCAGAGGAAATCGGTGGGTTGGGTTTCGTCGATGTAATCAAGATAATCTATCCATTCCCCCATTAGAGATTGCAAAGAGAGACTGAGTTCTCTTCTATTAATATGAATATGATTCTCAGGACTTAGTTCGATGTAAATTTAAATTTAAATTTATTTTTATGAAATAAGCATACAAAAAACAAATTTAGCATGTTGTTTATTATTTAATTTTATTTAATTGATTTTGTTTTTAATCAATTAGAGCATCTATTACCATTAATTCCTTAACTCATCAAAACGTGTAGTTATAATCCTCTAACTAAAAATTCATCACCATTGGTCCCTTAATTTTAATCTAACTGGAGAAATGATCCCTCAACTTTAACCTAATTGAAGCAATTGTCCCTCAACTTTAACCCAATTGTAGCAATGATCCTTCCAACATAACTCATTTTAACAAAATTCTAAATAAGTTGACGAAAAAAACCATAGCTACACGTTTTGATAAGTTGAGGGACTCAATTGTAGCAATGGTCCTTTCAACATAAATTATTTTGACAAAATTCTTACAAAGTTGACAAAAATGATCATAGCTATACATTTTGATGAATTAAAAGACCAATGGTAATGGATTTTTAATTGAGGGATCATTATTCCAATTTTATTAAACTTGGAAAACGATTGCTATAATTTACCTTTTTAATTATTTAATTTTGTTTTATAGATAAAAAGACCAGAATTAGAAAATATTAGTGTATTTGACGGTCATATTACTTGGCATGCCAACTGGTGTTATAAATTCGTACAAAATCAATTTCGTGACAAAAAGCTGGGCTCATCTCTAAAGGGATCTTCATTTTTTTAAAAGAGATTAGTTGTTGACTTAGTTCATAATGACCTTTAACAATCTAAATCGTGTTGCAATCGTATCAGATTAGGAATGTGAATGTGTAAATCCTAGTATATTTAGGAGTATCCTGTAGTTACCTATTAAGAGATGTAATCTTATAAGGGTAAGGATTTTACTCTTCTTACTACTATAAATGAAGGCATAACGAGGTGATACAAAACACACCTTAGAATTAAATCTTTCTCTTTCTCTCTTGTTGTCGTCGGCCCCTCTCTCTCTATTCCTTAGATCGCTTAGGCCAACAACACGTTATCAGCACGCTCTTGTCACAAGCTAAGGAACTTAAGGATTGTAGGAGGAGGTTATATTCTACAAATTCAAAGGCTCTCAATTGTTTTCTGTCAATCAGGTTCTTCTAAAATAAATTAAAATATTTGAAAAAACCTTGAAGCATGAAAACATTCCTTATGATGCATAAACCCCCTATATTTATATTTTCCTTCCAATTATATGTATTGTATATATGTTCATATATTTTGTCAATGTATATAATTGTTCATGCATTATGCATATATGCTATGTGGAATTGTTAGTCAAAAGAATCAAAATTAATTTAGAAGTAATTAGGGTTTTAACTCTAGAATTCGGCAAAAAAAAAAAAAAAAAAAAAAAGGGACAAAAACCAAATGCTAGTCGGGCAGTGGGTTGGAGCCTAGCGGTTAGGCGGGATTTAGGCGGATTTAAGTAAATTCATTATATTTCACGTAAATAAGTGTCTGTGTTTATACTTTAAAAAAAAAAAATATATATATATATATATATAATTTCATCATAAACTACAAAATAGAATGACATATGTATTATGAAGTATTGGAACATAATGAAAACATAGGGAACAAGGAAAATTTGTGTGCTCATTTAAGTATTCAACAATTTATTGAAAAAAATTAAATGCAAATTGGAAGTTATCTATTTTCTATCTAAGTGAGTTACAACCTAGGTAGGTGCCTAAGTGGGTCTGGGTGGGCTAGGTGGGTGCCTAGGTGGTTTGGGCTAGGTGCCTAGGTGGTCTAGCTGGGCACCTCAGCTGCTCTAGGTGCCCTTTCTTGATTTTCAAACGCCTAGGCATTAATCGGGGAGGTGACCAGCAACCTAGCGTCTAGGCGGCACTAGGCTGGGATATTTAGAACAGTGGTGGTGACAGATCTTAGGACGACGTCTCCGATGCCTTGGGTTGCCTAATACATGGGCCTGAAGCCCTAGTCCAAAGCCAACCCAACCTGCATGACAAAAGCATGCTGGGCCTGTCCCTGACACGAGCCTGAAGCCTCGGCCCGTCTATAGCAACCTTCTTGGGTTGCTGGACCGGTTCCCTATCTCGGCCTACGCCAACAAGCTTGTATGCATCCTGGCTTTGTCTTAGCCCCGACCTGCGAAACCAAAAGCCAGCCCATGCGGCTGGGCTTGTCCCTACGACCCACAACTAAAACCCAGCTGCGATTGGGGTTTCTTTGCACACCCGCATGCCCTTTGGACCTTGACCCGTGTGCCTGCCCCAGACCCAACACGCTAACCATTCACGGATGGGCTTACCAAACTGGACTCGTGGCCTGCAACCATGATTAGGGCTGCTCTTAGCAGCCACCCAAGCCTATTAAACTTTATAGGGTCTTGTCCTACTCACGGCACCCATGCCCACCATGTTTGGGCTATGGTTTTTCAAACCCAATGCTAATTTTTGGCATTCTAAATAATTTTAACCCGAATGTTATAATTATTTTTTCTTCTACGATCGACCCTGAATGGTCTCAATCTATTGAATTAATTAAAGTGACCAGTAGTTCACTAATCTGACAATTAATCCAAAATTATTGACCTGAAGCTCTCATTTTGGCATTAACAATTCAATAAATTATTTCTCCTCTTTAAACCGTTGACTATCTTTTGTAGCCCTAAAGTACTCACACTTGGGTTCCTAAAGCAATACACAAATCCACTACACTTTATTGTATATTGTATTCTGTATTCTTGCAGGTACCCCTATATATATGAACTAAAATGTTCATAACTAAATTGTACCTGTAGTTTCAAATTTAGTGCCTTAGAAACCCGAAGTTTACATTCAAAATTTACCACATGAAACCTGTAGCTTTCATGCATAAATTAAACCAATACATGTCTATAGAACCCCAAATGTTCTACAATGTATGTCTATGGCTTTCCATATGACTAACCACGTTTTGATGTACCCTCTATTTAGGGACATGTCGAACTTGAACAAGCTCAACTTCACCGTTCTGAAAGTCTCCAGAAGAATCTACCTAAAGTGGGTTCAAGATGTGAAGCTCTATCTTACTGCAAAGAGTCTTAGAGCTACCATCGAGGAACCAATCAACGAAGCTTCATATAGCTATTGCTATGATCTTCATCTGAAGACACATCCATGATGCACTGCAGACCAAGTACCTCGCAGAGGAAGATCCCCGTACCCTCTGGCTCGCACTGGCGGATCACTTTGATCACCAGAAAGATATCTTCTTACATGAAGAAAGACACAACTGGCAACATTTACACTTCCAACACTTTAAGTCTGTGAATGAATACAACTCTGAAGTTTGTAGAATTCGATCACTGCTTGAGTTCTATATCGAGGACTTAACCGAACAAGATCTCCTAAAAAAGACCTATTTAACCTTCAATGCCACCAATATTGTCCTACAACAATAATATAGGGCACAAAAGTTCACCAAATTTTTGGATTTGATATCTATTCTACTTCCTGCTGAAAAGCAAAACCAGCTTTTGATGAAGAATCATCAAGCTCGACCTACCGGCTCAAACACCGCACCTGAAGCGCACGCAACAACTTCTAACAGCCACAATTGAAAGAGATTCCGTCGTGGCTATGGGAAAGGGAGGCAAGCCCACCACGGGCCCAAGGTCCACCGAACAAAGGCCCATCCAAGGGAGGAAACTTAACTTAGAAGAGCTAACCTCTTGCCCCAAAGGCCCCTAAACTTCAAGAACAAGAGAAAAGCTACCATCAATTGAATTCCACTGAACTGGACATGTGCTATCAATATGGATCAAGAGATCATTGGTCACGCATATTGACACGTCCAACCTTGATATACTCTAAACACCAGGGTAGGTACGTGCTGGCCGACACCCAAAAGTGCAAAGCCACACTAATATGCATGAGAACCAATGAATATAAATAAGACTTATAAATTTAAATATAATTAATATGCAAATGAGGAGCATGTTTAGAGCATACAACTAATTTGAGACACTAGAAAAGAAATAATATGAAATTGAATGAACAAAATGATGGGTCCTACACTAAGAGAACTCGAAGATGCCAATGTGGGAGTGCCTTGACGCCGAGATTGTACGCCTTGATTCTATGTCCTGAAGGCGTGCAAAATATTAGGGTAGACACGTTGATAACCCACTAGGTAAGTACCAAAAATATTAGGGTGCAAAATACAGGATTGTACGTCGGGATTATGTGCAGATGTGTCGTATGATAACCCACTAGGTAAGTACCAAAAATATATCTCAAAATCTCGTATCAAACATTGGAGCTCAATAGCTCAAACCTCGTCTCATAAATCCATGATAAACCATAATCATAAACCCAAAATAAACATATACGTGAAACCATAGAATTTCATAATCGAAAACCCAATGATTCATAACCTTTAGTAATATATAAATCCGATAAATCATAATTATTCAGTAAAAGCAATCTAAATAAATCATAAGTATGAAAATCCGTAACATATTATAAATCATGCTCTATTCATAAAATATGCAATGCACGCTAGGCTAATATTTTATAAAATATATAAGTTATGAAGGGGTCCACTCACAGATATTTTATTGTCTGAGAGTCGCTCAAACTAGCGTGAACGGGATCGCTTTCGTCGATGCACCTAAATGCACACAGAGACCATTTAGTAAAACACTACGAAAATGATCAAATTTGGGAAAACAGACACCGGATTGGATTCGGCATGTCAAGAAACATAAGGAGTGACCTCAGATTTCCTCTACGCGCCACCACACTCGGCGGCTGGCAGCCCCAACTCGCCAGAAAATTCAACAACTCTCAAAATTCCCAAATGTTACAGGAATGAAGATCTCAATAATAAGAACAACTTTCATACATAGGCTGAATTCCAGTTCGGCCGAAAAACGCCTCAAATCACCCTCGATCACTCGGAAACCCAAAAATGAGTGATCTTTGATTCGTCTTTTCTGCTGCTCTATCACCTCCAA